TTTCAGGAAGACCCTGGCACCTTACAGACCTGGTGCTTGCCACAGTGCCCGGCAGAGGGGGCAATAAGTGTTTTCAAGTGAAGTCTTGTATACAGCCACTATACAAAGGGTTTATAGTGAGCAGCAGCAATTCAGGCCTTGCAGAGCCCCGAAGTTAAGAAAACTTTAGTGAACTTACTTTCTAAGTTGAAAGCCATAGGAAAGTATCTCTTCTTGTCATTTCTGCTAACATTTTATTGAATTAGAGTTCTAATGAGGATCAAACACTTGTATCTGGATTTCCGTTTCTCTCTCCCGTAAACGTCTTAAAATTTACTTAAAAATTCTAAGTTTAATGCACACAAATAGAGATAAAACCTTTGATTAATTTGGACATTGTTTTGAGTAGATAGTCTGGCAAATGCATTTAAGCAATTGAGCTCTAAAAGTACTCGAATGTTTTTAACCTTCGTTGGAAAGCATTTTGCAGCCCTCTCAACCTCTCAGAAAGCCACATGAGGATTTGTTAAAGTGAATTTTTTACTTCATTCGGGTTAGGATCAGTGGTTCTGCATTTCTAAGTAGCAACCAGATGATGCCAGTGAGATTAGTCTCCGGACCACACAGAAAGGGCAGTTTGCTCTTCTGCCTTGGTTAAACTCGGTAGGACAAACACAATAAAATTGTTACTCTGAGTAAAATTGTACATGCTTTTGATGGAGCCACAGAAGGAAGTAGTCTGGAATTTTTTTTAATTAACCTGTTTTTATTTTCTTCTTCTTCTTTTTTTTTTTTTTTTTTTGTTTGAGACAGGGTTTCTCTGTAGCCTTGGCTGTCCTGTTCTCACTTTTTACACCAGGCTGGCTTCAAACTCACAAAGATCTGCCTGCCTGTGAGTGCTGGGATTACAGATGTGAGCCACCACGCCCAGCTAACCTGCTTTCTTGATACTACATTCCATGAAAGTCAAGTAGGAACTGATGGAGAGAGGCCTCTAAGTACAGTGACTCTGTAACCTCACATCGGTCTGTGTAACACAAACACAACACACCTTGTGTGTCATCAGTTAAGAGCCGCAGAGGACAGACAAGGAAACAGTTGATATATAGACACACTGGTATGGAAGTGAGAGAATGGCATTGAACAAGTTACCAGCTAGACACAGACCTGGAGAGGACTTCAATTGGAGGACTGGATGGCTACGTTATTCGATGTACTGCAGCCTCAGAAAGTGGAAATGAAGAGCTAGACTTGTATCCTGAAAGGAAGTGGACATGAATGTTTATGCCCAAAGGTACCCTGGAATATTCATGAAGTAAATGGAGCCATTTACTCAGCGGTGCAGGGACTGTACAGAGAAGAGAAGGAAAGACAGATCTTCCCTAATACCTTACCTGCCTCCTGAAAGCCATGCTAAAAATGCCAGACTGGTGTCAGTGGTTTTCATAGTTCTCCTCCATAGTACACTAAAAACCATGCAAATATTGGCTTACTAGGAGTGATCAGCAGTGCAACCTATTAGAGTAGTTTCAAACTTCAATCCTTTCAGTAGCCCTGACAGTTGAATCTCAGGATAGCTTTAAGAAGTTGAAGGACTCAATCGGAAAAATGTGACGTGGTTTTGTTCTGAGAATGTCTTCATGTGGAATTAATAAGGTTTTATATCTAGATGGTGTTGGTCTACTGAGCAGCTATAAGGAATCCTTTTTTGTTTTATAGTTTCTTTTCCTGTACCCTTCTCATAAAAACTCTGAATCCATGAGTATTTTAGGGCTTAAAAATCCAGAGCTGACAGCCTTTTTATATTTGGCAAGCATATGAATCATAGTTTGCCACAGAACAGTAACAAAAAGACAAAATAAAACAAAAGCAAGAAAAGAAGAAGAAGCTAAAGCTATTTGTTTTAGCCCCAAGTCTGCCAGGAACCCTTTTCACTTTTTGTTTTTTTATTGGTCTGACTAAAAAAAAGTTTCACCTGCTTTAATTCGTTATGCATTTTTTTTGCCCTTTTATTTTATAAAAGCCAAACAAAATAAAAATTGGTAAGTAAGGGCCAGGGAGATGGTTTAGAGGGCAAAAGTGCTTGCCATGCAAGCCGAACTATTTGAATTTGATTCCTGGAACCATAAATAAAAAAACAAAAGCAGGGACAGGAGACATAGAGGCTGGAGAAATGGCACAGCGACCAAGAGTGCTTGCTGCACTAGCAGAGGACTTGAGCTTGGTTCTCAGCACCAATCTTGGGTGGCTCACAATCACCTATAACTCCAGCTCTGAGGGATCTGGTGCCCTCTCCTGGCCTTTGAGGGCTTGTGCATTCATGTGCACATAGCCACACACAGACACACGCACAGAAAAAAATTAAACATAAGATAAAAATCTTTTAAAAAGTGTAGATGCAGTGTAACACATCTGCAATCCCAGCATTCCTATAGTGGGATGGGAAGTAGAGACAGGAACAGTAAAATCTGTTGGGAGCTTATTGGCCAGCTAGCCTGAGGTCTATAGCACAAGAGCAGAAACGAGAGACCCTGTCATAACAAGGTAAAAGGCAAGAACCAATTCCTGAAAGTTTTCCTCTGACATCCCTACATACACCCTTCTCACTGTCTTCAAATCTTGCCTCATCTTACCTACCTAATTGTGACACCCGCCCTCCCTTCTTACCTTACTCAACATGGCACTTTATCACTCCTCTGCATACTCTCAACTGCTGTGGCCCTCTGTGTCCTGTTAGCCATGTTTCCTTTCCCCTACCTTTGTGATGCCAGCACTTGCTGCATTCTCGCACATCACATAGTTATCAGCGATCCTCACTGCTTGTCCCCTCCGCCAGAACACCCGCTCCTCAAAGCCAAGGACGCACCCTAACCTCTCAGCGCATAATAGGCCATCAACAAATAGTCATCCAATGAATGAACGAATGGACAAGTAAGTGAACAATTTCATACTTGAAGTAAATACTACACACACTAGAAAATGTTGCCTGTTTTCCTCTAAGAGATATCTAGGTTACTCAAAGACAAGTTCTTTTTCCTTTCCTCTTTTATCTTCCGGGTAATGAATTTTGATTTTTAGGCGTTTGTGGATTAGTGGTCTGAGGCTATGTGCTATACACCCACACACTCCTCCCTCTTTAAACATACCTAGTACAAATCGTGTTGGATTGAACATTATCCAAATCGAAGCAGTTTTGTATGCAATTCTGTTAGTCAGCACAATAGATAAGGGTTCTTTGTTTTAGTCCCCAAAGTACTGTGGACTTTGAAGATGCAAGTATTTTTAAAAAGGTTTACTTATTTTCACGTGTATGGGTGTTTTGCTTGCACGCATGTGTGCTACAAGTGTGCAGTACCCACAGAAGGCAGAAGAGGGCATTAGATTCTCGGGAAATGGAGCCACGGATGCTTGTTAGCCCCACTGTGGTTGCCGGGAACCAAACCCAGATCCCCCGAAAGAGCAGATGGTGCTCTTAACTGCTGAACCATTTCTCCAGCCCCAGGTGCAAACACATGTGTTTCCATAGCATGGATGATAAAGTGTTAAACACTTTATCTTATGACTTTATTGTATCTTGGTTCTCATTACAACACTACCAGGAAGAATTTTGCCTTGAAGGAATTGAAAACCAAAGGGCTGTAGAGACTGGCATAGGTTCAGCAAGCGGCAGTGAGGTCACCTGCTCCAGATGTGTTTGAAACCTGTTAAAATGAGAGCTTGGATACAATCAAGGATCAGGGTAAATTAGTGTTCTGAGAGAAGTACTCTGAGCCAAGTCCAGATTTGGCGTTTAGTGGAAAAGGTGCTTAAGAGATGAAACTGGCCACAAAAAACCCATTAAACTGCATGCGGAGATTTTACCGTTTCCCTGATGGTCAAATCTATTGATTTTATTTTTAGAGGGGGGAGAGCACCCCAAAGTGCTCTCTTCCCATTGAGTTGCTCCCATCCAATTACCGATTAAGCATCTGGAGTCTCTGTCGCTGGCAAACAAGAGGGTTCCCTTGTCTAACAACGTCTGTCAGAGAGGAATGTGGACCCCAACGTGGTTCGAAGCTCTTCATCCCACTAGACAATATGTTGGCTCTGTATACCTGCTTCATGCTCACATGTGGCAATGCCACACACAGGCAGCAGAACTTTTAAAAAGGTCTGGGTGTGGATCCATGAGTTTGAGGCCAGCCTGGTCTACAAAGTGAGTCCAGGACAGCCAATGCTACACAGAGAAACCCTGTCTCAAATAAAACAAACAAACAAACAAACAAACAAACAAACAAGTCTATTCTCTTTTCAAATAAACTTCTGGGAGCTATCCCAACAGAGCAGAAGAACCTAGTTTGTGAGTTCAGTGTTTTAAGAGAGCATAAAATTGTGATGCCCTGAATTAGTCATGATAATGGGATACATTTGAGCAGTGTCAACTGAAATGCAATATTTTTTTAAATTTATTTATTTTTATTTTCTGTGCATTGGTGTTATGACTGCATGTGTGTCTGTGTTATGGTGTCAGGTCCCCTGGAACTGGAGTTACAGACAATTGTGAGCTGCCATGTGGGTGCTGGGAATTGAACCCGGGTCCTCTGGAAGAGCAGCTAGTGCTCCTCACCACTGAGCCACCTCTCCAGCCTGTGAAGTGCACTCTTAATGGTATGTTGTTTCAGTTGTTCAGGGTAAATGGTAGCATAGGTAAAGCGTAAGTGATCATGTCATTCTATCAGCCTGTGTTCGTTTCTTATGCACTCTTTACTCATATTCCCCTTCTTCCTCACTCTTACTAGTTCTCTTGTGGCACTAAGGAAACATCTTTAGCAGGAGCACGAAGGGAGATTCCCTTCATGAATATTGGACTGTTTTGACTGAACAGGTTGAAAATTCTTGGCACACATGATACGAAATGAGCTGATACCTCAGAGGGTATTGTCTGAGGATTTCATAATCTTTCTCCCCTGGGCCAGCAAAGTGAGGATGGTAAGATACGTCTCCTTTGCACACATCGCCTTGGGAACCACAGATGTGCTCACCTTTACAGGCGTCTGGGGCAGAGAAGGGTCTCCTGAGGTCGCGGTAGAAGCCCGGCTTGCAGCGCTGACAGTGCTGACCCTCAGTGTTGTGCTGGCAGTTGACGCAGACACCCCCGCTTCGATTCCCTGATGCCTCCCACACCTTGATGTCAAAGTGACAGGTGTCGGCGTGCCCATTGCACTTGCAGGCTGGTGATAAAACGAGATGGGGCAGGAGACATGAAAACACTGCAACAGCTTCTCTCAGAGCCAAAATGTCAAAATAGGTCAAGACACAAAAAAAGTTAATGGTAAGGTCATCGTTAAATTCTATTTCTTTATTTATTGAAGAATATGTAGTACAGGAACTAAAGCAGCACAATAGGGATCTATTAAGAATTATCAGCTAGGTGGTGGTGGCAGTGGCAGCACACTCCTTTCATCCCAACACGTGGGAGGCAGAAGCAGGTGAGTCTCGGGGTTTGAGGCCTGTCTGAGTTCCAGGACAGCCAGGGCTACACAGAGAAACCCTGTCTCAAAAAACAAAAACAAAAACAGAAGCAAACAAACAAACAAACAAACAAACAAACAAAAAACCCAAACAAACCAAAAGAACTCTCTTGCTTTCCCTTGATCAAGGTACCATTTTTATTTTATGCTTCTTAGCTAGATGTCTATTATTCATTATCTATCGGTATTTTAAAGGGTTAGCGTGTACATGAAGGTCATGGTGATGGTTAGTGCTGATTGTTAACTGGACGCTCTAGGTCACCTAGGAGAGTGGCTTCAGCTTGACTGTTGAAATGACCTCCGTTATGGTTATGGTAATTGATGTGGGAGGTCCCAACATACCTATGGACCCAACCATTCCTTGGGCAGGAGATCTGGGCTGTAGGAGAAAACAGTAGGGCATGTGTCCCCCGCTCCCTACTTCCTGATTGTGGACACAATGGGACAACCTGCTGCAAGTTCCTGTATATGCCTTTCCTACCATGGTGGGCTGTGCCCTTGGACTAGAGGCCAGAGCAAACCCCTTAAGGGGCTTTGGTAGAGTATTTTATCACAGGACCCTGAGAAGAAACTAGAGCAATGGTCAAAGTGAAGGCAGGTCTGCTTGGGTAAAGGTAGTATGCTGTCCTGGAGACTTGCGGTTGGCTTTTCATTTGGAAAAATGTTTGAGCTGCCTTCCTGGTCCTGCTACTTTCTGAGGGTCAGTGTGTCACTGCCTTTGTGAAGAAAGCCTCAGACTCTTGGCATGGATACTGCAGACAAAACCATAATTCCTGCTCATCCATGAGGGTGGACACTGCCTGGTGGACAGTGAACAGAGCCTAAGTATCTCTCGTGGTGCTGAAAATGGAACCTAGAGCTTCACCCATGCTGGGCAGGTGCTGAGTGTGTGTGTGTGTGTGTGTGTGTGTGTGTGTGTACAAGCCACTCCACATGTTTGGAGTTCAGAGGACAACTTGGGATTCCTCTGCCTCAGCCTTTCAGGTAGCTGAGATCCCAGTTATCGTCTATGAAGGAGCACTTTTCGGCTGCTGTCATTTTGGTGAATAGAAGGAAGCCTGCTATTGAATCCTCAGTTAATAGAGGTGGCCCAGGGTTCCTTATGCAATAAATTTTCAAAGACATCTCTAAGCTTATCAGTCTTTAGAGCCAAGTGACACGTCTCTGTGTCCCTGTGTATTTAGATATGAAGTGGGTTTCCATGGAAAGGACCAGAACGGCACTCCAGGAATTTAGGAGAAATTCTTTAGATTCTCTTGATAAGTAATTTAGAAAAAGAATCCAGACAATTTCCCCGGAAGTGAACTGTATTTGAAAATGTTAGTGCTATTATTTTTTCATTGTTTCTGTGATGTGTTATGATATTTTTCCCAGGCTCATATCTTTAAAAGGCATAAGGTAATTTGATATGTATGATTAGAGGATTTCCTTTATATTTCTTAGAAACAAATTTATGATTCCAGATTGTGTATGGGAAGAGACTTCTCATAAACTTACTCATGGGATAGTCTGCAGCCCTGCCAACAGGACTGAGGAGCCAAGAACGTGCTATTTGCTTGCACACTCTGTGGGCTCCAGATGCTCTCCTTGAGACGCTGACATGATGTGAACATGACTAGAAACAAGACTTTAAGATCCTCATGAACAGGCTTGGGATTGACAACGTTTCTGTGAGCATGCGTGCTCCTCAGAACATCTGCTCACTTGGATGATGACCTCCTGCTACTGGACAGGCCTCTGAATGTTTCTAACTGCAAATAGGAAGATGGTTTGTTTTCCTATGTTCTACCCTCCCTTATCTGATCTCCAAATGCAAACCCCAAATTAGTCCTAGTTAAAGTAATCCCATTCATTTTTTATTATTAAATTTTTATTTTTATATTAATTACAGTTTATTCACTTTGTATCCCAGCTGTAGCCCCTTTCCCCCTCCCTCCCAATCTTACCCTCCCTCCCTCCCTCCCTCATCTTCTCCTATGCTCCTGCAATCCCATTCTTGACTTCCAGGTTTAATTTCAGGTCTGCTCCATGAGTCAGAGGAAAGTATTATAATATCACGAGGGAAAATATCTCATAGGATCCCGAAGACTTGGGATCTAGTCTTCATTCCCTCATTTACTGACTTTGGCAAGACATTTAATTTTACTGAGCCTCAGTTTCCTGATTTCTAAAACAGGATTAATACCATCTGCTCTAATGGGTTGTTCTGGGAACTGAATTTAAAAGCACCATTTTCATGATTATCATTTAATATCGCAGCTACGAGAGCAGCTGTCCACAGTAATCTTTAGCTGCTCTGTGTCTGCTCAAGTTTGTATCATGTCAAGTTCTCAAGGGGAGCATTTAGGTCCCACAAAGCATCCAAGCAAACTGACAGCACATTCTTGGCCACTCAAGCCTATTGGCAGCCCTGCAAACTGACTGTTTCGAATGGCTGGAGTCATGCTGGGCAGTGATAGGGGCTCTGTTTGTGTACAGTTTCTGTCACCCACCACTTTATATTGTGTTTCAAGAGATAACAAGGAATTCATAGATAAGTTTATTCTACAAAGAAGGCTTTTGAGTAGTGGAGGCTGTTACTTACTTCTGCACTCGTTAGGAGCCCCCGTCCTGCCGTCCGCTGCCTCCCAGGGCCGGTCGTTGTACAGTGGCGCACAGTGCTGACAGTGGCTGCCTGCCGTGTTGTGTTTACACATGCACTTCCCGTGGACCTACAAAAGACAGCGCTGTGAGCACGGGCGACGGTGCTGAGAGCCCCCCTGTGAGCATGTGCAATGGCACTGAGGAAGAAAGTCTCCCTTCAATCTCTTCGCACCCGCTCAGTGTAAGATACCAATTCACTTCCTTTGAAGAAGTTAGCCAGAGTGAGGAACGAGGTTTTTTTTAGTGTATCTTGTGATTAATTCCAAAGAAGAAACAATACTTTTCCTTGTCAAAAGTATTTAGGTCAATTTTAATATCCTCAATGAAAAAAATATCTTAGCACAAAATAATGCATCTTTACTGTATAAAATTTAGAAATTTGTAATCTTTAAACAATATTAATACCAAATATTCAGGGCCTGGAGAGATGGCTCACAGGTTAAGAGCACTGGCTGCTCTTCCAGAGATCCTGAGTTCAATTCCCAGCAACCACATGGTGGCTCACAACCATCTATAATGAGATCTGGTGCCGTCTTCCAGCATTCAGGCACACATGCAGGCAGAATACTATATAAATAATAAATAAATCTTAAAAACTATTAATATCAACATTTGAATATATACATATTTCTAGTACCTTAAAATACAATTAAAGACTTTTTCTTTACATTTCTTCATGTTAGGAATATGTAGCTTAGTGGTACAGTATGTACCTAGCATGTTAAAGACCCTTGGGTTCAATCTCCAGCACCCTATCAAAAAATATCTATGTACTTTCTTTAATATTCTTGTTTTATAACACAATCTCTTGTGTGATAAACAGTTACCTACTTTATCATTACAAAGGTTTAAACAATTGATATATAGTTTAAACTATTCAGTGCTACAGTGAATATCCCTGTAGCTAAGTATTTGTATAACTCTTCATTTCTCCTAAATATATATCTTGGAAATAAAGTTAATCGAAGGGCCAAAATACATTGCTCAGACTTTGAATAAACTTTGTCCTAATTGCCAGGCTTTTCTTTTGACCCCACTACTGAATTCTAAAAAAGTGCTTCACAGAGAAGAATGCTTTCTAAAATTCTTACGGAAATAGTTTTGGCTTTATTTCACTGATAATGTTAAAAATACTTTGGATCATCAAGTATCACCTAGACCATGGAGTCTAGTGCCAAAATGGATACTGATACCATAGATGTGAAACTTTGTGAAGCAACTCTGATTGGGGTTTGTAAATATAAATCTGCAAGGTTTTTTTAAAAAACAGCATTTAAAGTATATCAGCATAAAGGTAATAAATCATATCAATCAGTCAATGGATATTTGTCGGTGCTCTAGGAGGGACAATCACTATGCGACACTGAGTCTGGGACATGAAATGTCACCTTTTTATTTATTTACTTTTACTTGTGTGAGTATGTGAATATATATCACACGTGTTCAGGTGCCTTCAGGGTCAGAAGATGGAGTTGGATTCCTAAAGCTGAAGTTACAGGCTATCGTGGGCTTCCTGACCCGGGTGCTGGGAACTGAACTAGGGCCCTCTGAAAAAGGCGAAAGCACTTTTAACCACAGAGCTTTTCTCTAGCCACAGCATTTCTCTTCTTTAGAAAAGGACGAGGATGAAGACAGATGCAGAGACTCACAATGTGGCCAAACAATAGGCCACATTCGGGGAGTTTTGTGGAAGAGTGGGAGGACACATTGAGAGACCGGGAGGGATCAAGGACACCACAAGAAGACCTACACAGTCAACTGACCTGGGCTCATGGGGGCTCACAGAGACTGAACCACCAACCAAAGAACATGCATGGGCTGGGCCTAGGCCCCTACACATATGTAACTGATGGGCAGCTAGGTCATCACGTGGGTCCTCTAACAATGGGAGCAGGGGCTGTCTCTGTCTCTGTTACCTGCCTCTGGATCCCTTTCCCCTAGCTTGGATGCCTTGTCTGGCCTCAGTAGGAAAGATGCACTTAGTCTGTTACAACTTGAGGTGCCATTGTGGGTTAGTAACCCTTGGGGGCCTCCCTTCTCTGAGAAAAAGGAGAGAGAAGAAAAACTGGGGAGGGGGTGAGAATGGGACTGAGAGGAGAGGAGGGAGGGGGCTGAAATCAGGCTGTAAAGTGAATAAATAACTACAGGGGGAGGGGGAAGAAAGGATGAGGGGTTGACTGAGATGGCTCAGTCAAAACACCAATGCACATTTTTTTTTAAAAGAATTTGAGTGGCTGGTGACATGGCATAGTGGTTCAGACCATATACTGCTCTTCAAGAGGACCCAAGTTCAATTCCCAGCAACCATATCAGAGACCTCAGAGCTGCCTGTAACTCCAGCTCCAGGGGGAATCCAATGCTTTTGGCCTTTGCAGGCACCTGCCCTCTGTGTGTGCACAGGTATGTGCATGTGTGTATACATGCATAGACACACAATTAAAAATAAAAATATTTTTAAAAGAACAGGATATTATACAACTGGAGCAAAGAGATTTATTTAGGAAAATGCAAGAAAAACAGCACGACAAATAAATGCAAAAGAGGGAAAAAGATGTTGGAATTCAAAAGATTGATCAGAGGTTTGACAGTTGTGGAGGGCTTTATGAAAGGCATGGGGTTTGATCTGGCCTTGACAGAGGGGCTAAATTTCCTATGGTGGACAAGGAGAAAGAAGAAGAGAAGAAGGAGGAGGAGGGATAAAGAGGAGGAAGAAGGAGAAGGAGGAAGAAGAAGAAAAGAAGGGAGAAGAAGAAAAGAAGGGAGAAGAAGAAGGAAGGAGAAGAAAGAGGAGGAGGAAGAGGAGGAGGAGGAGAAGAAAACAAACAAACAAACAAACAAACAAACAAGCTTACTTCCCAGGACATGGAGACAAAGAAAAACCAAGCTCCAAGGAAACCCGTGAGTAAATCTGTGTTCTTTGAGGCTATTCAGGATTTTCATCATGGATGGAAGTAAGATCATGGTCAAATAACAGTTAATAAATAAACCAGAGTATTCATTAGAGAGATAGGCTTGGTCTAGCGTGATCACAGAATTCACCAAACATTGGCTCAAAGAATCCAGAATTTATCCTACAGATAATGCAGACACGTTAAAGACTTAAAAGGCAAGAAATAACTGAGAAGTGTATTATTAACTACACTTTCTTTTCTTCACATTAAAGAAAACTTCTTTCTTCTTTCTTGTCTAATAGTATTACGTTTTCTTTCCCTTCCTCTTTTATTGTTTCTTTACCCTTGCCCTCAGCTTATGTCTCCCAACAGCTAATGATACCACCTGTATTTTATGATAACATTTGTAATTTTAAAAAGTAATTATTGTTATTCCTTGTTCGTATCTTTCAAACTTTTTATCAAGGATTTTAGGAAGACAATATTGAATGGTATTGTTAATTTTCTTTACAGGAACTCAAGTATTGCCAAGAGCTGAGCTTAGTCAGTTTAGTCTTGGAATGTCCAAAGCCTATATATTATTTCACCCAAATTATAGGTTATTCTGTCCCACAAATTCTAGGGCCCAAAGGTGGGGAGTGTCACAGACATTTAGGGGTAACCTTGTCTAACCTTCACATGTGTCACAGGATAACACTGGCAGGTCTGTTCCATCTGGAACATTCCTTTGTTCCTGTCTGCCCAGGACTGAAATGGACCTCCCAGGGTCTGAAGATACTAGGCCAGCAAATTTTTTCTGCACATAGAAAAATTCAAGGAGCTGTCATTTTGAAAATTATCAAAAATAGCTGTAAATCATTACCCAGGCAGTTTGAAACAAGAAATCCTTCCTCAGCGATACCACTGCTGTTCAAGCTTGAAAGATCACCCACTATTTGATGCTCGTGAAAAATGTGCAAGTAAAACTAGGTCTTCCTTGGGAAACAAACAGAAAAAGGAAACTTTAGTAATAAGTTAAACATAACTCCTATTTGGTATATAAACACAAACTAGGTAAAGAGTAAGAAAATGGAGTTATGTGCTAAAGATTTCATAACAATGGTGTCTGGTTGTCTAATTGGAAAATGAGGAAGGAATCTTGGCCACAAAACTGCAACTTGTAATTACTCAGGAGATATTCGAATATTGTAGTGTTAGAAACTCCTGTTAATGCTAAGAATACTTTTCTCTTTCACTGTCAAAAGCTTTTTTTTTTGTTGTTGTTGTTGTTGTTGTTTGTTTGTTTTGAGACAGGGTTTCTCCCTGTAGCCCTGGCTGTCCTGGAACTCACTCTGTAGACCAGGCTGGCCTTGAGAGATCCACCTGCCTCTGCCTCCTGATGCTGGGAGTGATGTACATGCAAGTCTAGTTACCACTAACATTAACCCATCTTCTGTTCAGTTTCTGCGCTTTCCTCACAGGACGGTACTTATGACAACCTGAAACAAGTCTTTCAAGAAGTTACTGGACCAGCATGTTCATTTTGAGCTGGACAGTTTTGTTACAATAATTGTATATTAAAACCAGATAGATGGCTGAATGGTGGTGGTGCACGCCTTTAATCCCAGTACTTGGGAGACAGAGAAGGTGGACTCTGTAAGTTCAAGGCCAGCCTGGTTTACAGATTTAGATGGGGCCAAAAATGAGGCATGACTGTCTTTCAGATCTATTGTTGGTAAGAAGACAGGCCTAGAATAGTAAGGTTTCTTTTTTCTTTTCATTGGTTCATTTTGGCTTTCAGTAGTCATCTATCATGTGATTGAAGATGTTAGTCATGGCATGAGATGGTGGGAATCTGGCCACAGATAGTATCACACACATGTGATTGAACAATCACTTATTTCTATGTAGATTTTAAAGTATATTTTTTAAAAAGATTAATTTTATTCTTAATTATCTATATACTGTGTCTATGTATGGGTATGTCACCTGTGAGTGCTGGTACCTGCAGCCTCCAGTAGAGGGCATCAGATCCCTGGAAGCTGGAGTTACAGGCAGTTGTAAACCTCCAAATGGGTGCTAGGAACCAAATTTGGGTCCTTTGCAAGAGCACCACTGAACCATCATCTTTCTAGCTCCGAGATGTTTGGGGATATTTAAATATTCGATGGAAGAGGCAACCTTAAAAAAAACTTTAG